AACGTAAGTTAACCAATGTAAGTCAACCAAAGTTTGTTCGACAGACAAAATATCTCAATAGTTGGTATGACCACTTTTGCCTTGCTGCCTGCACTCTGGCTGACAACAATTCTAAACGTTTTTTGCAGAATTCGAGAATCGTCATTATTCCAGAAGCCTTTTGTAGAACCCCAAAGAGTGTCTAATTACGTTACTGTACGTTTCCCATGTTTCATTTTTAAGTGCTCCGAAAAATGTTTAATGGGAATGAGGTTTGGTGTCTGGTGAGTGGGGAAAGTCATACATATTAGCATTAGTTGCCATTAATTCGGCTAAAAATAGGCCTGGCACAGCTATGATGCATGTTTATGATGATTATCCTGCCAGAAAAGTAATTCTCCTCCAGTGGAGGAGATCAAAAACGTAAACTTTTGGACTCTACTACTTATATATATATTTAATATGTATTAAACATACTTCAGTTGAGCTGTGAAGGACTGGTAGTTGAATTTTCCCACATTCTTATGAGTGGAACTGACCCTTCCATTGAATTTCAAACAGCCTTGCTTTACCAAAAGGTATTCTCATTCGGGCTGCAGTTGCTACCTCACCTGGTCTGGTCTTATCAGCACCCCGCCGGATTCGAAACTGTATTGTGGTATTGAAGACTAAAATCTCGACACGTTCAACACTACGTCGCGTTGCCACGAATGTTCTTGAGACAAGGGACAGATGGGAATTTCAAGGAAGGCCGTACATTTAAGCCTATCACCATCTGTGTTGGGATAGCCGATGGAGAAAGGTTGTATTTGCCATAGCACTCGATTACATTACTTATTTTTTGTTGTGTAAACAGCTTTTCAAAACTACCAGCGTGAACCAAGAGAACTTGTGGAAATGTGGCGCAGTGGTTAGCTCGTCGATATGATAAGCTTCAATGCCACAGTTCGAGTCCCGCAGGAGGTGCTGATAAGAACTAGGCGAGGTTGATACGGCAGTCCACTTCAGTCTGGATGAGAATCACTTTATGGAAAGCAAGGCTATGTGAAATTTAATAGAACGTAGGTCTAGTTAAGATATTGTCGGACCCCTTATCAACTTAAATGAAATGGGGGTGAATAACTTTCATATAAATGATACAGTGGCAGTCTCAAAAACCTACTTATAAAACGAAAAATTATAATTGTTATACTTTCTTTGAGTAGGCTCACTGTAGATGTCTCTTCTTAATTTCCTATTTTTCTTCTGGGGCAGCCTCCTTGAGCTTTCTTCTCCTCAAGTTTAACATATTTTCTTGATTAAGTCGTCTTCTTCCGGGTCTCCTTCGAGTTTGTTTTAACAATATACAAAGTTTTCGAAAATCCCGCCTTCTTCAAGTCTCCTGTTCATCAGATTTCTTGCAGTAAAAATATTGATGGTCTCTCAGACCTTGCGTTTTCTTGTTTTTTTTCACCAGATGCGGCCAGGCTTTCTGGCGATTTCCAGTTGACTTCACTTCCTGTCCATGCAATGTGTTCCGTTATTTCGGATCTTTATGCATCCATGTTTCTGTAGAGGCTTTTGGTGCTTCTTAATTCATAGTCTGATTTCTCTTCCTGCTTCATCGATATACTTCTGCACACAGTTGCCACATTATGTGCGGTAAACTCCAGAGCAATCCAGTTTCTCAATCTTCTCTTGTTATCTCGGCAGGCTGGTGAAGAGTGTTGGCTTTTCCTTCTTTCACAGTTTCGACTCGGTTCACATGAGGACAGGCATATACACTTTTGGTCGTCCGCCCGATTAATTATTTTATCTCTATAATATACATACTGCCATCTGTTCTTTATAGTACGCATATTTCTTTATTTCACTTTGGTCACATGCTAAGGGCAATTTGAATGAATTCCTAAATTTTATGAACCAACTTGATGAAAGAATTAAAGGTACAATGGAGATATAGGAAAAGGAGCAACTACCTTTCCTGGATGTTAA